AAGTATATTTTTTAGGTAAAAAACTTTATTGTTTAATTCAACTATATTGACCTCCCTCCCCCTCCCTTCCCTCCCTCTTGTCAACAACTGCCAAACATTTCCACCACCCCCCCCCTCATATTTTGTTGACGTAATTAATGGACCCCCCCCCCTTATAATTTAATATCCTTAGTAGTAGTAACCAACTGCAAGAACCCATCTTTCCAAGTGGACTTGGACATATAACTATAATAACATCGACTCGCCGGCCGAAGTTCAGGGCAAATCCATTTTATTTTATATAGGTCATTTATGTACCTCCGCCGTAACGTCAGTACCGGTACCCAACTGTTGCTTACAACATGGCAGCTCCCAGTAAAAAATTTCACATTCTTCCCCACGTAACCGTGTTTTTATTACTCGCGTCTCTCCCAGTTTTCCAGGCCAAAGATTTTGAAAGTGAGTATATAAAAGTAAGTTACATAATCGTGTTAGATAAAATACATTGCATTTTGCATATTATTTTTGTGGGGTTGGGGAGGAGAGAATAGAGAGGGGTTCCGGGTTAGCATTTACACTAAAAACAGTTCTGTACCAGTATCGCGTGTTGTGCCGAGTAAATAAATTGTACACTCGACTGACATGTCGTGCACTCATATGTAACGTAACGGAAGTTATGTTGAATAATAACTGAAAATTGATCTTGTGTATAAGGTCTTAAAAACTTTATTTCATAAACATTTGTGAAAATAGCTCTTAAAATTTTTGTTAAGCTCATCATGGGAATTCCTGAAAAAAATTTCGGGAAACTCCGAAGAAAATTTCTATAAAAAGTAGATATATTTATATTGCATGACGTTTATAAAAAAAAAATACATATATTTTATAAGAAAATCAATTTGGAGTAAAGCAAAAAAGTGTGTGTGTGTGTGGGGGGGGGGGGGATTTGGTGATTTGAAAAGAGAGAAAAACAAAATTGAAACGGAAGATAATAAAAGCCAAACTGAAAAAAAGACTTAATTAAAATAAAATAAGGAAGTCAATCCTGGATCCATTGCGGTTGATACAAATTTCAAATTTTTGTAACATTGTAATAAATTATTATCATTAGAAAGTGATATATTATGACATGCCATGTTTAATTAAGCAAGTAAAAGTAAAGGCACTTTTTTTTTTTTTGGCCATATCATTCATCATGTGTGTACTGCTAGATTACACAATGACAATGGCCGGTGAACAGAATGAATAGTTGTTAAAGAAGGTGATGGTCTAACATAAAAAAGACCATTAAAAAATAATATTTTTGTTTATACTTGTACTAATTTATTATTTTTTTAAAACTTGCCAAACTTTTATAAAAACAATCAGAATCAAAGATTAGCAGAAATAATTTAATTATAATTATATACAACTCATTTATTTGGACCGAAAGGACCAACCCTAAGAAAATGGATATAAAATAAATCTTACAATTGTAAAACATTCAACACTCAATGGAGAAAAAAAAATGTTTGTCCCATAGCATAATAGTGCCATCCCACTAACAAAGTTAACCTGTGCATTATCTGCAGACATTTATTTTAAAATGTGCTTTGTCCTCAATAAGTTTATAATTTATGGTTCATTTTAAAAAATACCCACTAAATTTCTCTTTGTGATTTCATAACAGAATAATCACATGTCCAATAAACTTTATTAATAATATTTAACTGTGAAAAGAATTATCTTGAAATATCTGCCAGATCTGACCCAAAAAAATAGATGGTGGGGCAAAACCAAGTGCAAAGGAGTAAGTTATGAACTATTCCATTATCTGCCCTGTTTCATAAAAAAATAATGTGGTATCATCTTTTGAATATGATTGTATGAAATCAGAAGGCAGTGAAAGTGAACATGTACAAGAAGTCAAGTCTCCAAGTGAGGCAGCCAAGCACCCTCCAGCTAAAAATACTCCACAAGCAACAAGACCTGAGAGCCTTGAGTCAACACAGTCAGGCAAATCGAGGGATCACATTTATGGCACTCTTAACCTAAGAGAGCGAAAGAAAGCTACCAAAGACTTCAAGCACAGAGGTAGGTGTATTGACAAGCCTAGTTTAAAATGCTAGACAGATCTCAGTGGCTTTGTATGAATCTAATCCATTTTAATATTTAAGAGAGCGAAAGAAAGCTACCAAAGACTTAAAGCACAGAGGTAGGTGTATTGAAAAGCCTAGTTTAAAATGCAAGATAGATCTCAGTGGCTTTGTATGAATCTAATCCATTTTAACATTTAAGAGAGCGAAAGAAAGCTACCAAAGACTTAAAGCACAGAGGTAAGTGTATTGACAAGCCTAGTTTGAAATGCCAGACAGATCTCAGTGGCTTTGTAGTCTTGTCCTTCACAAGGAATCAAATCCATTTTAACATTGATTAGAAATTTTACACTTGATCCAATCCCCAAAGGTTACAAAAATTAAAATAAATAAGCATGAGTGGTCTCAGTACTTATATTTTGTGAACATAGAAATGCTGGTGGTACTAAGGAGAAAAAACTGACACAACAGGACCAGACCGACACAACAGTTCATGAACATTTGTTATCCCTGTCATGCGTCACACTTTTTTGTTCAATAAATGTCTTTTTCAAGAGCTACTGTTATATTCGATCAAAGCGTGCATGTGGATGTGTGGAAGATAGTGTCAAATTCTCAACATGGCCCTTCAAGAAAATAGCTGGCCAAAAATAAAAATCCCCTGAAACATAAAAGTAAAAAAGGAACAGCCCCCCCCCCCAACCACCCTAACAAAACAAACAAAATACTACAGTAATCTAAAATCTAAGTTATCATAAATATTTTTACATCTACCAAATGAAGGATCCACAATTAAACAATGGGTTACAGTCCAAAAAGTTTATAGATGAAGGATAATGGTAATATTTCCATAATTTCTGAGCAGTCACTGATATTTCAACTATAGTTAATGTTTTCACTTCAGAAACAGTGATGAAAAAAACCCTACAGGACCTGCTAGCAATCTACAAGTCATCTATTGAACCCCTGGAGATTGCCTACAGATTTAGCGACCTTAATAAAGATGCATTACTAGGTAATTGAAAGAGAGCTTTGGTTTCAGCGAAGAAAAAGCAACAACAAAAATAATGCAGCCTGTCAAGTGTAACTCATATATCCCAGTAAATGCAGGAACTGAATTCTTATAATCCTCACCAATGCACCTGTTGAACTTTTTCAGCACTTTCCACTACTAACATAAACAGGGGAGATGTATAATGCAGAGCAACTTAAACTGTAATTTTAAACCATGACATGATGTCATCTTAACCATAATATCAGTTAAGGTTATCGAAGGGGTTACAAATTAAAAAAAAAAAATCTTTTACCAAAATGAATTTTTCTAACAACACTGGCAAAGAGAACATGTTCTTGGCAATATTATATGTAATTATATTCTCCAGAATCTGAAATTATGGCAAAACCCCTCATCTTACTACTGGGGCCATGGAGTGCAGGAAAGACTTCAATGATCAACTATTTACTTGAGATTGAGGATGCGCCAGAAAAGCTGCACACTGGTAAGCAATGTGTCAAGAACTATTTTATTTATCACTATACCATTTTCCCCAACTACTAAATAAGAGCCGTCAAAATTGTATTTCAGGTGCTGAACCAACAACCAGTGATTTTTTTATAATCCAGCATGGCCCAAAATACAAGACTGTTAAAGGAATGCAACTAGTGGCTGACCAAAAAAATTCATTTGCCTCATTGGAGAAACTTGGCCTAGTATGTATTCTTCCTTAGGTCTATTATTTCAAACAAGCAAAAGAAAACAACAGTGCTAGTTTGTTGATAACACTGACTTCAAGTATACTGTATAGTTCAGACTATAAGCCACACATAATAATATAAAAAATACTGGGTAATGAGCCATCCGTATAGTATGTAAGCACAAGGGGGGAGGGGTTGTCAATATGGGAAATTTTGCGTACATGCACATACAGGGGGGAGGGGTCCCTCGGCACAGTTTATTTACATTTGTTCACAAATTCTGTAAAAAATTTCATGACCATAAATCATAAATAGCAATTTACATCAATAATACTGTAAAAATAGTATGCAATGTTTTGCAGGCATTAATGTAATAATATTGCCAGTGTTTTCAAAAGTACACTAGCTACATATCACTCATGTAGTAGGCCTACTCAGTACCAGTAGTAATATTTAGTCCATCATATATCCTGTGTGCCTGTTTTGGTGCTATATTCTTTGGGCTATGCCAGTGGTTCCGTAATTTTTCAATTTCTCTGGTCCATTGCCAAATTGAGATTTCTGTTAAATCCTTTCAAGTACACTTCAAATAGCCAACACATTTTAAAATAATAAAATAATGGGTTGAGTAAAAATTAAAAACACTATGTACGTTACTAAGCATCATCTAAACTAGGCCTGCACAACTCAAAATGTAAGGCGGGCCATAATACTTTATGAAAAACTTGTGCAGGCAAAAAAAAAAAATAGGTCAGGGGACAGCTATGAAGAAAATAATAATACTAAAGAATATTTCGTTAGATCTACTGCTCGGGCCGCATGTGCCCGATAATATAAATCATTCGAGCCAAGTCAACGACACGAAGATTTTGACCAAAAAATGTTTAAAACTTAAACTCACATTATTTACATCTTTTTAAATAAAGAGCAAACAAATATTTGGAGTGATCTCCCCCATGAATTATTTAATAACTTCTCTGTGGTTTACGATTATTCACAAATAAATGAGCCATGGACAATATCCACAATTTCAAAATTTTTAAAATACTGGAATAAATGCAGTGGGGCCTATAAGCAGCTTATAAAAAAAAAATGCTAGCTTGTGAATGCCAGCAAAGATTTAGTTTAGCCAATTCCCCCCCCCCCCACCCCCTTTTTTAAAAAACCCATATCCTTAATGAACGACCCCTAGTAGAATATTATTTTATAAATAATTTTAGTGGGGCCTAAAAACAGCTTTAAAAAAAAAAATGCCAGCTTGTGAATGCCAGCAAAAATTTAGTTGAGCCAATTCCCCCCCCCCACCCCCTTTTTTAAAAAACCCATATCCTTAATGAACGACCCCTAGTAGAATATTATTTTATAAATAATTTTCTTGTATAAATGCTGTCCCTTTAATCAGTACTTTTTTTTGAATACATCACTTTCATAGCCCTTGGTTATTAAGCTCATCAGCACCGAGCCCGATATAAAAACATTATTTTAATTCAGAGTTACCACTCAACAGTGTTGATTTCAAGTACCCTCGACTGCAAAGAGAACCCCTCGAAATTCACAAAAGAAACTCTTTATTTTTTGTTGTTTCAAACAGCATTTCTTGGAGAGACTCAAGGGTATTGAACTACCATCGGAAATACTTGAATTGGTAACAATAGTGGACACTCCTGGCATTTTGGAAAACAGGAAACAACAAGAAAGAGGCTACCCATTCAATGAAGTTATTCAATGGTTTCTACAGAGATCTAGTGTCATTTACCTGGTCTTTGACCCAACAAAGATGGAAGTTGGCACTGAGCTAGAGAATATTTTTAATCAGGTCAGTATTAAGATTTTTTAAACATCATGATCTAGGGGGTATTAAGCTAAATGGCTTTTGGGAAGCATACAAAAAAAAAGGTGTAAAAATTAAATCAAATGGTTGCTTTTTCATTTTTTTTAACTATGTATCCACAGCTTAAAGGATATGATGCTAAAATAAAAATACTCCTGAACAAGGCTGACACCATCACTCAACAAGAGCTCATGAAAGTCTACGGGGCACTCTTCTGGAATTTAGCCCCCATCGTCAAGTCAGTGGAACCACCCAGAGTCTACATAGGATCGTTCTGGTCCAAAGCGAAAATAGACCACCCGATGTATCGGTTGTTTTTAGAAGAGGAAACAGCATTGCTAGTTGACTTGAATCAAGTTGTGGAGAACCAGGTGGAAAACAAAGTGGCTTATATTAGAACACATGCATATTTGGTACGTCTTCACGCATTAACGGTGGACAGCTTTATGAGAACATACGAAAATCATAAAAGTTTAATCTTCAATAATGATAAACTATGGCAGGAGATTGTTAACGAACCTGATAAATTTGGAGTATTCCAAGAAGTCATGGTCAACACAGAAATGAGTATACATGACACCCCCAGAGCAGAAACGTACTTACATTTTTTTAGAATTAATACGCTCAACATATTTGCAAGACTCAAAAGCCACTGTACTTTTTTCAGCGGTTGTGCCATAGATAAAATATCAGCAGCCATCACAAAAGAACTGCCCCAGCTTCTAGCATATCTAAAGGAAAATGTCTCTCAAGGACACTGTACCAAGGATACATGTTGAAACTGTCAATTATTACTTTTTTTTTTCCCCATTATGGGAATAACCCAATTCTCGTAACATTAAATTAACTTATTCATCTTTTTTAAAATGTGCCTTGCTACTTATTGTGCACAATGCAATATTCAGTATTTTCCCCCTTCAACAAAATGTTGTAGTGAATCATAAATTGTGAGCCATTTCAGTTTTCCTGCTGTGAAGAACTTATGATACTGCAAATTTAAGTTTTTCCCTAGACATAAAAACGCATTAGCAAGGTATGTTTTGTTTTGTCACATACTAAGCTGACATATCTGAAATAATAAGCTTTTATTTAAAATATGCTAAAATTTTACACCATTCCATAAGTCAAGTTCTAGTTTTTTAAAAAGTAAGACCGGTTACCGGTACTTATTCCATCAGTTTAAATTAATTTTGAGGGCATTTGTAATAATCTATTTCCATTGTTAACTCCAAATAAATTTAGATTTGTACAAAATAATTTGTTCTAGTCTTTCCAAAATATTTATAGCAGCTTTTTAAAAAGACACTGTTAACAGTTTTATTTCACTCTAAGTTTACACGTTTCATTATTTCTGTTATCATAAGAGTATTATGATTGTTTGAAATTATAATGAGTTGCCAAAACCTGCTTTTTGATTGTTTCAAGTGACAAGACTCAATACATTCAATAAGAGGATAGTTGCTTGATTAGAACAACAATATTTTTTTACAAAATAATTGTCCAAGATTTATCTGTATAGAATTGTGTTATAACAATAGTTCCAAATTAATTATTCTTAAATATCTGCTCATAGTTTACACTGTTTAGGCATGTAACATGATGTTCTATGAAAATCAGAAAATTGTTTAGTGCACCTGATAACTGCTAATAGGTGAGCATACAATTACAGGCTATAACTGTTAATGGCCAGAGTGAAAGGTAAATTATGTGTTGCCTGTTGCCATTAAATCAAATTGATACAAGAATGCATTGTATATCAAATTACACTTTTACTGTAAACATGAGATTGAACTGATTTGACTCTTAAAAATTCTTCTCAACATAAAAATAAGGATGGAAAGATGATGCTGCTAATAAATAAAGCAGCTGCAATATTACTATTTCTGGATGTCATGTTATAATTATGTTTGTATTTGTCATAGAAATTAGTCGAAGGGTTCATTAATTACTCCCCCAACCCCACTTTCATTAATTTTTCCATTTAGAGTGAAAATAAAATATTTTTGTTTACTATTATGAGATTCTTCATGTTTTAATTTTAAACTATAGATTTAGCATTACAAGTTATACCAAAATAGATATTTATGCATTTTAAAAAATTTTAAAAATTAAAATTTTAATGGATTTTAAAAAACTAAATACTTTTTTAAAGTTAGCTGGAATGGAATATTTTACGTTTTACAATGCTTGCAGACTTTGTTGCATGTACATTGAATATTTTACTTACGTTGGGCGTAACCTCATGCAGCCAAACATTAGCGTCATCATCATAGTCCAACTTGCAGGCTAGTGTCAGATCATGGTAGGCTTCTTCCCATTGGCCAAGGAGTCTTTGACACATTGAAAAGGAAGAGAAAACAACATGCATTGGTCTTCAGGTGAAACCTGGCTTGCTTTCAAAACAAGGGCTATTCTGCATTGCATTTGGTGAAATATGGGTTGGAAAAAAACTAACTAAAAGGGGAGTTGAAGTTGTTTCTATGGCTGCTAATGCTAATTGGTGCAGTTAAACTCCCTTGCAAATAAATCCATAGACTGAGAAATACAGAATACACAATGCAACCAATATACTGTTATTTCAAATGCAGAAGTGCCTCGGAGTGCAAACTCATCGGCTAACTCTCCTAATCCACCTCCTGAATTTCCAAAATTTGAAACATTGCAGAATATTTTTCATTTTTTAAATAAAATTTAGGAAAGACTGTGCAATGTTGGAACAAGGTAGCAAATGAATTGAATTTTTCTCATAGGTTAGTTTATCAAATGGCATCCTGTCCAGGTTTATTCTGGGAGGCACCACTGTAGCATCTTTGGAGATTTGCATAAAAAGGAACAGCCTTCCCATCTTAACCCTATAAGGGGGAACAGGAATAGGAAGACAACTCATTTCTACCGTGGTTTCTATCAGTGTGTAAAAGTGCTTTTATCAAGGTCTGTGTTTTGATATATCACATGTGAAATTATATAAATTATTGTGACTGTCATTATGTCTGATGCTGGAGAGGGTTTTTCTCGATTGGAAAATCAACACAGACTTTATTGCAATTATTTCAAACGGATTAAATTGAAATCAATGATTTTTAGAGCTATTCCACATGCTAGTAATGACAGTAGTGGTGGCAACACAAGAATCTGACATTGACAATTTTAGCCCTGAGCTCGGTCAGTGTTCCAGACAAATTTGTTTATGAAGGGTTGAAACTGAATAGAAAAGACAAAGATTGGACCCGAAAGACCTACCCTAAAGAGATTCAAAAGCATTTATGTTTGTGTCTGTTCTAGATTATTGACATATATAATTTAAAAAGGGATTAAATAACTTAAATGAAAAGGAAATTTTAACACGAAAGTGTTTTGTATAAAGAAATATTAAGGTATTAAATGAAAAAAAGAATGATCTATTACGTGTTATTTTCTGAAAGGATATTTCTTTTATTATCTTTCAAAAAAACCGATGTAATTATAGATAGAACAAAGTAGTGAATTTGGGGTGGGTTGAATGCAAAATTTGAGGACTTCAATTTCTGCACTGCAGAGTCAAAGTCAATATCAATGTCCTTATCATTAAAACTAACTCTTTTTAATACTATATGAAATATGATTCCTTATCCTATGTACTTTTAGAAAATGTATACTTGTGAATGTGAAGAGTCTCTGTATTCAGTTTTTATGGGATTTTTTTTATTGTAAAAAAGCATATCAAAATGCTCAAAATTGCTAGACACCACAGAGCAAATGCACTTGACAGCTGTAAGGTTAATTAAAGCTTTCAAAGTCAAATAACATATTCTTACAACAGGCCTCATGGACAACAACTTGAAGATTATCAGTAATTTCTTGCACTCTACTACTGTTTGGTAAATACCTGTAAGCTCTGCCTCTCCATTTGTAACCTTGAGCAGAGTCAGCATTGAGCTCAATAGCTTTTGTGCAGTCATGAATGGCTTTCTTAGGCTTGTTCAATTTAAGGAAAACCCTGGTGAAAAAAAGGTAATATTTCTTCAAGGTTCATAAAGTTTCTCAATTTAAACTCAACAATTGACAAGAACAAAGATACCCTTAATGTTGACAAGAGAGTTTAGTTTAACCATCATTTTATTTAAATTAGTATGTACTTCATGTACTAAAAAAAAACAAAAAAAAAACAAATGAAAGCTTCATGCTGCATACCATCAACTTAGTGTGACTGATGATAAATTATGACTAAAATATTCCATTAACTCATTAGGTTTTTCAATCAGAATGAGAACAAGGTTTTTGGCTTTTGTCTATTCACAACTACAACTGGTCGGTTGAGGCTTTGTTTAATATCAACTGCTTAAAATGTATTCAAAGATAACATTTTATATATATATGTATATATATATATGTATGTATGTATGTATGGCATCTTTCCGTCTGCGGGAGACGATAGATTATCTTTATTGCTTGCAGCTCTTGGTGTGGCTGGTGAGACCAATCCTCGAATGGCAGTCTCTTTTACATTTCCCACACACGAATGCGGTGGAGCAGTATTTACCGGCCTTCCTCCTCGCTCTTTTTGCAGCTGTTTCCGCCCTGTTTTGATCCTCGGCATGTAGTGATCCTGCCTTCACGATGCCCTGCCATGAGGATCGATCCTCTGCCAGCTCCTCCAAGTTTGAGATGTCGATGTTGGCCGACTTCATGTCTCTTTTGCATATGTCTAAGTATCTCAGACGAGGCCGTCCAACTGACCTTTTCCCTGTCGCCAGCTCGCTGTATAGCACGTCCTTTCGTATGCGACCAGATTGCATTCGCTTGACGTGTCCAAGCCAGCGGAGGTGTCTTTGGATTAACATGGCTGGGACGCTACACATGTTTGTTTGGGACAGGACATCCGTGTTGGGGACTTTGTCTTGCCATTTAATGTCAAGGATGTGGCGCAGGCATCTGAGGTGGAAGCCATTGAGCCTACTTTCGTGTTTAGAGTATGTGGTCCACGACTCGCATCCATACAGAAGTGTGCTCAGTACACAGGCCTGGCACACCTGCAGCTTAGTTCTTGTTGTGAGTTTGGCGTTTGACCAGACTCTTTTCTTCAGTCTGGTCATAACAGTTGCGGCCTTCCCTATCCTCCCACTTATCTCATTCTCCATTGAAAATTATTCATATTATATAAGCCACAGAAAAAAGTTTTAGAATATTTTGATCAAGTTAAAAAATTGGGCACATACAATGGATATTGTAGGGGGGAAAAAAAAACTATAATAATTAAACCAAAACATTATAAACCACAGAAAAAGTTATCTTGAATAAAATACTATTTACTTAAAACTGCTGTTATTACTCAAAATGCTGGCCGAAATAACTGTGATAACTGACAGGTTTTTTTCTTGTTTTTTTTCTTGAATCAACAAAAACAGTAACAAATCCTTATGGTATTTTTTATTTTAACTTACGTGGCCCTCTTTGCATACATCAGAGCAGATGCAGGGTTTAATTTTATTGCCTCTGTAAATTGCTCAATAGCATCCTCAAGACGACCTATGTAGATACATGAGACATAACACTTGTGTTGATCTGTAAATGCGATTCTTAACTTATTGCTTAACTGTTTGTAAGGATTAGGTCACACAGAGAATCACATAATTTTCATTTCAATGTACAATCCAAATATTGAAATATTCCAACATGACTCTAAATTTCTCTGTGGCAGGCAAAAAGCATATTCAGGCACTGTTTTGCATATCTATTTTTGTTCTTTGTGAAAAGTATGAAATATATAAATTAAACTAGACATTATATGTATTAAAATTTGCCTGTCACATCTCTATTCAATAACCAATACTTATTGTGAAAATCCTAACCATTACTTTAACAGCTACTCGAGATACTTGTACAGTCTAAAACAATTTTCCATTGTTCTCACCTTCTGCTGCAGCATCCATGGCTGCTGAACGCTTTGCATCTGCCTCATCAATTGCCTCGTCTGTGACCTCAGCACTGTCATCTCCGTAAACTGGCATGTCTTCATCATTGTCTTCAATTACTCCATCTTTACTCAATTCAAGATCACTTTCAACATCTTCTTCGGATTCAGTTTCTTCGAGTGGCGTCTGAGGTTGTGGGGCATCCTTCTTGGGTTCATCTTTAGAAGTCTTCTGTTTGAGTGGTGGAATCTTAGCACCAAGACTAAATTAACATAAGATATGGAGGATACAAATTATTTTATAAAAATGGACGTTCTGTTACATAACGTGGTAATAAGTATAATGAATGGAAAGCACACGATTAAACAATGCATTGAAATTTCAACAATTTTCTTGGAACTTAACATCTGTTGCACATGAAATGTAAATCTAACCTTACAATATTAAAAGATGTGTTGGGAAAACTTATTTGTTTGTGTCATGTGGGGGTGGGGGAAAAGGGGGAGAGAGAAAGTAGGCACTGTAAACTTAATATATATGTAACTTGCCCCAATGAAGGGCATCTAAATACAAAAAAAAATTAATGGATTTATTCCAGTAGTTTCTGGCCTATTGAATAATGGTTATTTATGTTAACTAATTATGCACGTGTCACAACTTATGATTGAGTACAAAATTAATTTAATTGTATAAAATTTTGTTTTGTAAATTGTAAAAATATCATTTATTCATGTTGTTATTTTACCAAAGATACAGAACATCAATGAGAAAACTGACACTGTTACGAACCGGAAATTTTCAGTTCAATAGCTTAATTGTCTAGGGATAATTTAATTATTTGACAAGCCAATGGTTCATATAACAAATGTGTCTTTATTAAATAAAAAAAACTCCATTACTAACAACTCAATCACTGTTATCGTCCCAAAACATAACACCTAATAAACAATGTCATTTCCCATACCCAAATATGCCATAAATACAAAGCATATAGCAACAACTACACAAATACTCTCAGCACCAAACACACAACCACAAAACACTAACAAATCCTTAACAATTACATCTAACAAACAACTTGTAATGCTCATTGAGTTGTTAAGCGCATGAATCTTATGT